GGCGACCAAAACATGGAAGTCGAGAATTTGGGTAGACGGTTTTAAGGCGCTGTGCCTGAATTATTTACTGTACTGGATAGCAGTAAATATCAACCATTCTTGATATTTACTGCTGTCAACAATTCTTGAAGACCATGAGACGGAGACTTGCATAAATGTACTGAGAAAGGTTTTGGCGACCATTATTTAGTGTGCGATGGGATTTTCATTGGTCCATCGATTAAGCAGAGCCCACCAAGTTTCAAGAACCCACCCTATATCTGTTAAAGTCAGTGAGTGCACGCTTTCTGGACATTTTAACCAAAATTTATTGATAAGTCAACATAACGCCTACATGATATCGAAAATCCACACACTTCCTATAACATGTTCCTTTCTCCTAGCTTCCTAGCTTATGAACAAATAAAGAACAAGAGAAGAGCATATAACACAGAGAGTGTACAGAAAATACGATATCTAGATTCGATATATGTGTTAGGTCGAATTATCAAAGGGCATGATGTCTGAGCTCACACAGTTTGCTCAGAATCTGCCTCCGTGTCTACCGCCAGGTCCTCTTCTGTGTCCACCCATCCTTCCACCGTGTCCTCCTCTGTGTCCACGCATTCTTCCACCCGGTCCTCCTCTGTGTCCACCCATCCTTCCACCGTGTCCTCTACGTCCACCCATCATTCCACCTCGATGAGAGCCTCGGAATCCTTGTGCCGAGATTTCAGCCACAAGTAGGAATAGAAGAATGAAAACCAGAAATAATTTCATTTTGAACGCAAGATTCTCAGGCGGTTAGAACAATGAGGAACGGAACGGGCCTGGCTTTTAAGGAAACGTTTCCCATAAAAAGACTGTTACGTCATATAATCTGAAATTTACTGTTATTAAGGTATTCCCATAAAAAGTGATGAGGGATTTTTCAATAAAATATGCTCTTGATGTTTGTTGGTTTGCTGCCCATATCTGAACCAGTACATCTGTCAGCATTAATTTTCGGCCGAAACACCTGTGCCAGAGAAATTCAACGGATGTAACTTCCAAGAAGAAGTTATTCAAAAAGTTGATACGTCAGCAAGAATTATGACATTTAACCCGTCTTGTGAGCAAATTCTTCTCTGTAGCAGTATAAAAACCTATCACCAAATGATCTTGATGTTTGTTAAAATGCTGATCGTTGCTACGTTGACATGTATGGATTCTGCTGCTGATATGATCAGCATCAGAATTAGTACATCTGCATCAATTCTTGGCGGAAAACCTGCACTAAGAAATGTTATAGCAATTCTCCATTATGCTCATGCATGTGAAGGTGTGGTAATA